CTTGTGGGTCAGGCTTTGGCCAGCCGAAGGCTCCAGTTGTGAATTCCCCTGCCTTGGTCTGAGCAACCTGGTAGTATTCAGCCCACAAGCCAATCATCGAACGTTTTTTCTTTTCATAAAGATTTTTGTAGCATGATTTGCTTGGCACAGTCTGTCCGCAGACAAGTGTGAATTATAATACAATAATAATATCTTCCCACTGAAATTCTGTTTTGCCATATCTAGCACGTCTACTTATTGACAAGGAGAAAGTTTCCACACAATCACGCAATTTTTCACTTCATTGACAAAGACCATATCTACCATTTTCAGTTTCATTTTGTCTGGTGTTTTTAATTGGCATCCACAATTAGGGTACGTAAAATACTGAAAATTCACTCATAAAGTTAATCCTGTCTTGACGGAATTTGGACATTCCAGAATGCCGCATTGTAAGAACTCAACTCACCGCAATGTGATCTCAGCCACATATAAACACGCAGTTCTGTTTGTTATCTGAAACTGATCAGTCATTCTATTTCTTTTTGCTGTCTTAATAAAGGTCTCTTACGATTATGAGATGTCCTCACTATTTATAAAGCTTCTCTTTGGTGGATCAATCCTTCCAATTGTATTCGCAGTTCGTCTGATGAGCACAATCCGCACAATCCGATGTTTCGGTCGGAATCGCCCATCCTGATGCATCTGTCACCTCCACCCTATGCAACTAACTAACCTTGCGGAATAGTCCACTGAACATAACCTAACTCTCAAACCGTCTAAGTGCGTAGACATTCTGTTCTCATTTCACAGAAGAAGTGGTTATGCAAATCTCCTGGACACCTGTCCCACGATAGACATACTTGATAATATCATTATCCAACTTGTAAATGTCAGGTATCTCGATCTGTTAATCAGCAAAAATTATGATGATTTAAACAAGTTATGTCTGTATTTAGAAAGGTCAGGAAATTATCATTCCATGTCCTACGTCTGAGAGCATTATCCGTCCCTTGCTTTTTGATTCCACATCTTCTTTTTGTTTGTATTCATACCCATGGCTGTATGGGTCCCCTGAAAGCTTCTCGGGGATGCTCAAGAAAGACTTTAAGGCAGGTTCCAGATCCTTAGCACATTTATCAAGAAGTCGCAGGATTTTCTATGAAACTCTCTGTCGCGTCATCGTTTCACATCATACAAAGTCATGCTTTTCGTTATGAGCAAAAAATTATAAACAACCCTTCAAATCCGTTACACTAAGATCTTATATAAAGTGTTTATCCTCCTTTCCCACTATAACTGCATATTTACTCGCACAACTGCTTATCGGTCTTCTGTGGTACTTCATCTTGCTTCATTTCTGGTCAGCCCAGAACACATCGCTTCGGAACTGAACTGAACTGGACTAAACTGAACTGAACTCACTCATATCGTAAATTGTTTTAATTTCTCTTTGCTTGCCACAATTCTGTTGAACACTGTTGGTTGACCATGTGGTTGCTGAATATCCACCTTTCGGAATGCTTGCAGTAAATACTTGACTTGACTATTGCGTGATTATCTCCAATTGATAATTCGCACTGAATTCACAGGTACTTGTGAGTAGTGTTGTGGGATAGTTGATATTGCTTAATTGAGTAAAACCGTGCATTCACATTCACGCACATTCCTCAGCTGTTCCAGCCAACCATAAAACCTGGAAACACTAGACTCGAGTTTTGCTCTTATTCGAGCGCATCCGTGGTGCACATCCATGGTCCGGAGTTCAAATCCCGGTCGGGACGGTGGATATGCACAACGGATTAGCCGTAATCAAAGAGAAACTCGAGACCGGTGCTTCCGAGTGTGTATGGTCGAGTGGAAGAGCTGAGAAATGTGCGTGAAGGTGAAGTCCGAATGATGGTCCGTTCTAATCAATTAATCAGTATCCAATTGAATTTCATCTCCATTATTCGTGAAATATCACCTCGAGAGACTGAACCCGATTGTACACTTGCATGAACAGGATTATCGGTGAGTGAGAGAAACCGATTTGTATTAGGCTGATAACACACGCGTGTTAACAAACCACAACAGTTGCAAGAAAAAGCACTTGGAGACTGGAATGATATCGTGTCCAAAGTCCAGAGCTAGCTTCACTTGACACAAGCTGTTCCCGTGCATGCTCAATTCGCATTTCATCGAATAAAACAATAGTGAATGAAACATTATTAACTACGGATGTAAATCAAATGTGCAATTCCGTACTTAGTGTAACATACGTTGTGTAAAAATAGTTTGTAATGCTCGGGGACCACGTAGTTTCTGACCAAAGAGTGTCATGACCGTTCTAACCAGATTAGGACTGCTGTTTTTCTCCAGTAAATAGTACGGGGTTCTAAAAATGTCTTTTGTGTGTCACTTAAGAGGTTTGATGCGTTTAAAGGAAAACCAATTCATAATTGCAAACTACAAGCTGGTACGATTTTCAAAGAAATGTGTTATTTGTACTTCACTGGCAAGACTGTGCGGTTACATGCGTGTTTTGAATAGCTATTTCACTCGCATTTCCCCTATAACTGCGAGTGATTCTTCTTTTCAATGGTAAATATGCAAACAATATGAT